AGGGCTGAGGGGGACAGGGGAATGGCGAGTTACAGTAAAACGAGTATAGGATTTCTGGTTAGATAATAAAAAAGTTTGGGAAATGAATAGCGGTAATTATTGTACAACATTGGGCATGTACTTAGTACTATTGAATTGTATACTTTAAAATGGTTAAAACTGTAAATTTTATATTATATTTATTTTATCGCAATAAAATCATATCAAAATCTGGATTATATCCTTTTCATTCTCAATTGTTATTTATTCATTGCTATTAAAACCCAAATTTCTTCTCAAGACCTGCGTACTATGGTCATCTATGTATGCTCGCACACGTAGACAAACAGAATCACACCCAGGTCACTTTGTGTCCTGCAGAGACCCATCCACAAACAGGTATCCATCCTGAGACCACCTACATGATGACTCCAACAATAAAGCCCATGGCAAGACTAATGCAACCAGTGTTTCTGGAGACCCTGGCAACCAAACAACCCGACTGAGTCCCAGCTCAACCCTTAAATTCCTCACCATGATGGTGGTGGTGGTGGTGGGGTATATATTTAGTTTATGTGTCCTCTCTCTGTAAAGAAAACTGTGTGCATATACCAGGAAGTCCTTCAGGAATAGCTAACCCAAACCTGCTCCACCAGGCCCATGAACAAAGAGATTTCAGTCCATACATGGCTGTTGGGTGCACTCAGCAATTGCATGTTACACCGAACAGCGGTGTCCTTAATGTAAATGCATATAATTGGGAGCTAAGTCTTTGTACCTTTACAGGACAAAGGATATAATGAGCAGAATGTACCACTTGTGAATTCTGAGGAAAGGAGAGCCTTTCATTTTTCCTTAAAAGAATCCATTTCTCACGAGGCAAAGAGAATCTGAGAACAAGTCTTTTGAAACAGAAGCAGGGAGGAGGGTGCAGAATGTGAGTTTTGTGTTACAGTCATAATCGATCACCGGGCCCAAGAGGTGCCCATTCGGTGCCATACCGTAACGTCTACTCAACTTTAATTTAAAGGTTTTTCACAACCTCATCTTCCTTCATGGAAACCTTTCCATTGCCCGTGGTCTGACAACTGAGTCCACTAGCTTTTAAAGATTTCAAGAGTTTCCAAAGAAAAACAATCTCTAGTGATACTTCCCATTGCCAACACTCATGAACATTTAGCACAAATAAGCTGCCACTTGTGAGCTGTCCACTTGACTGCATTCCCTTGCGCATCCTAAGGATATGTCAAGATCACAGTAAGATATTTAGAGGCAACATCTTTAGAATAAGGTTTCATTCCCAATCAAAGTGCTTAATTAGCAGAACCACGATGCTAGAGAACTGTCCTTGAATACGCCTGCATTTTAACCTCCATGTTATTTTTTCTGAAGCACACGTTTTCCTCTCACTGGATGGCCAGGAAATGATTAGGCGCAGAAAACCAACTGTCATAGGTGTCGACCCACAAAATAAGTGCCATCTTTCCAAGCAGGTTTTGGCTGCCTTCGAGGATGATATCCCGGTATGAGGGAGACCATTCTTTGGAATCTAATGGCCTTATCTCCATTCATTTGGGATGAGCAATGCTCCTGTGGCCTAGTTACGGCTAAACTCTTTCAACACTTCCCACCAACCCCTTCTGGCCCCTCGAGCCATCCTCCCACTCCCAATTTCAGCCAACCATGCTTATAAGACATCAGTTAGTAAATCACAATTCAAATGACCCCACCCATTTGTTCAGCAGAAAGTGGCCTCTGGATTTGCTCCACGTGGACCCATAGGCCAGAGGTACCTATGGCAGGCTTGCAAACATGAACAGGACATGATTTATTTATGACGACCACGTGTGCTTGATGCCCAGTTCCAGCAGGTTGTGGCTTCACTTGCCTGCCTCAGTCTAGGATGACCTCTCTACTCACTGTGTCCCATTTCAGGTACTGCCTTTCCAGGCTAGGGAAACAGAGAGGGGCAACTGGCCAGGGGGCGAAACACACCGATGCCCCTAACCCTGCTGGCCACATAACAGTCTGTGACCAAACACAAGGTGGGCAAATGGAACTTGCTACAAAGGTTCGCATGTCCAATGGTTTTCCGTGGAGAGTGGAGAAGTAGCTGCTGGAATACCTGGCCATGTGAGGTTCATGAAACTGCTGTGTATTCACCCACAAGAAAGGCTGGGATGCTTGTGAGGGAAGCCCCGCTCCTCATTTCCCAGATTCTGACACCCCCGCCCCCGCCTCCCCACCACCATCACCACCTTTGGCAATGATGTTGCAAATGCGAATGGCAGATAGGCATCAGCAGGTCCAAACGTGGACTCCAACTGAAGTGCAGTAAACTTCTGCCTCCAACCGTCTCCCCCTCCTTACCCCCCAGTTGTATTTATACTTTGGAAGAAGTTAACGCGAAGCAGCAGACACCTGGGCGTGCTCAATTTTTGACAAGCCTTAGTCACTCTGTAACCAGCAGAACAATTCACAATATAGTCGAAAATCCTGTGAGGATCTCTGCCACACATGCTAACACTAAAATGCCAGTAGCTCCACTTACCTTCTTTATTAAGCCTCATAACCTCCCTGCTTTTTCCACCCTCCTTTCCAGCCTCTTCTAAATCTACATCTGCAGATGAAAAAGAAAAAGAAAAAAAGAAAATAAGGGAAAAGGGCGAAAAAAGGGGGGGAAAAAGCCAAAGTCAAGGGGGGCAGGGAGAGTGTTTATTTGCAAACAGATGGATATAAATACTGTATATGAAAATCTTTCCAAAATTGACAATGCGACGTTTTCTCCCAAGTCCGGATTTCCATCTACCTGGCCCAGATAGGTACCAAAAAAACTATGCAAGCAGCAACAGAGTAGCCTTTTAAACAGACACACCATGGGGCTGTGAAAGCCCACCCCGCGGGCTGCCACGGGGAGCCGGGCACAGACAGACAGACAGACAGCCCTGGCAGCAGGGCCTCTCTCTGTGCACTGATGATCTGTCTCTGTGTGTATTTATTTAGAGAGAGAGGGAGAAGCATGGAGGACACCGGGGGCCACTCTCTCTCTCACACACACACTTTTTCCCAGTGGCTCTAGGTGAATGGAAAGGTTACAGGATAATAAAAGGAGGAGGAGGCGGTGGGGTTCTTACTGTCGGAGCAGTGTAATTTGGCGGCGTCGATCCAGGAGGACCAGGGTTTGCCCAGAAACGCCTCCGGACTGGGCACTTTGCGATCCAGTGTCGCCATTGCTCTTCCTTCTTGTTGCTTTTTCCCTGTTCCTTCGGCAGCAGCAGCCGAGAGACACGGGATTCGAGAACGCTCCGACGTCATCTTCGGAACGTTCCGACATTGAGAGGTCTTAACACCCGGCCGGGAGGGAGGGAGGGATGGGAGGAGGGGGCCGGCCAAAAAAAAACCAAGGGAGAAGGATCCCCCCCCCCAGCCCCCCCCCCCCCGGATTGGGCTTCCCCTCCCGGGGCCGCCCGGCCCCCCAAAAGCCAGCAAAAAAAGGCCCCCGGTTTCTTCGGGGCCCGCCCGGGCCCGCCCGCCCGCCCCCCCGGGGAGGGGCCCGCGCGCCGGGCCCACCGTGCCCCGGGGGCCCAGAGGCTCCCGCGCGCCCGGGGGAGGAGATGCTGCGCCGCCGCCGCCGCCGCCTGCACCCGGGGGCCGCGAGGGGCCGGGCCCGGGCGCCGGGGACAGACCCCGGAGCGCGCGGCCTGGGCCGGAGGAAGGGTGGCCTTTCCCGCAGAGTTGCAGCGGGAGGACTGAAAGTTTTCGCCTGCAGCCCTTGCAGGGGGTCCTGCCCTCGAGAGGCCTCCGCACGGATCCCCGCGGCTGAGTGGGGCGGAGACCAGCAGGCTGGCCACCTCCGGCCCCCACCCCCACGACCACGCCAGGCCGGGGAAGGGACCCCGGTGACCTCGCATCCCATGCACCACTCCTTTCCCCGTCCTTCCCTTTCACGGGGGACCTTGGACCTGGAGGACTCCGCGAACGCCTCTGGGACCTGAGACCGGAGAGCGGATGGAAGTGGTTCTAAATAAATAGCAGGTGAGTTGGGGGCGAGAGGAGCTGCCTTCCCATCCCGGACTGCGGGACACGCCGAGCTCCAAACTCAGCGCCCGGCGCCCCCAGGTCCTCTGCGCGGTGCGCGCCGCCGGCTCCGGAGAACCACCGCGGAGACTTGGCCCTGGGGTCTCGGTAGCGGGGAGCGAAGGCACCGGCGCCCGCCCGCCGCGCCTCCGGAGCAGTTTTCTGCGCTCCCTGCGGTGCGAGGAGAGTGGCCGGGACCAGCGCCCGGAGCCTCCCGCCAGGAATCTGACTCCTGGGAGAATTCATGCTCTCGCCAGTGGATAGGAAGCGCTGGATTTCCTCTGAATGTCGGACGTTTGATGCTTGGATTGAGATTTCCCTTCTCTCCCTAGAGGTGGGCAATAAAGGCCTTAAAAGGTCTCCTGGTATTTCTTTTTAAAAACCCCTTTGTTTACTCGGACTTACCGAAAACGTGGACAACCGCCCACCGTAGGTGTATTTTCCCTCTTCGTTCTTACCCTTTTCGTTCTTACCACTTCTGTTTTCCCCTGGCTGACGCGCACTCATTTGAAGTTGCTCTGCGCTTGAGTTCTGCCCTGGCGGTGCCATCTAATTTCCCTGTATCTGAGAGCCAGGGTCAGGGTGGGCGATGGAGGAGCAGCTACACATTCGTCTTCAGTTGTGATGTTTGCGTGAATGGGCTTGTTTTTTTGTTTTTGTGTTTTTTGTTGTTGCTGTGTGTGTGTGTGTGTGTGGTGTGTGTGCGCGCACACACACGCGCGCGTGTTTGTCAGACCCAGATAAATTTCATTTGCCTTTGCACATAGGGACCACTGAATGGCCACGGTGCCACTGGGTGAAGAATTCTCATTTTAAGGATTGGTGGTGTTAACCAATATTTATTACCTATTGGCCTCTTATGTATGCCAGACCCCGAGTTTAACATTTCCTCCCTCCTCTCTCTCTCTATTCATCATCCATCCATCTTTTCAACAGCTACTGCCTGCAATGGGCCAGGCGCCCTGCAGCAAAGGAAAACAAATGAGATCCAGCCCGGTCTCCGTGGAAGGAGGAAGGCGTGAAACTTCTTGGGAAAACAAGACCCGCACACAGTGAGTGCCTGGGGTGGTAGATGGCAGGTCTCTCAGCGCTGCCTGTTCCGAAGAGGAACTGAGATCCGGCTGGGAGAGGTCAGGCAATATGTCCCTGAGGAGACGGGATTGGTTCTGCCTCTTGGACAGGGGAGGGATGTAGAATGGTAAGGTGAAGACTGGTTTTTGCCAAGGGAGGGAGCAGGATGGTGTTTGCAGAGGCTTCAAGCTGTGTATAAATGTGGTGTGTGTAGGTGTTGAGTGTGGCTTACCTGGGATGGTGGGTTACTGTTGGGGGTTGGGGTTGAGGAGGCTGTGTAGTCAGGCTCGAGACAAATTATGGAAGGCACGGAATGATAGCCTAAAGAGTTTTGCTTGACAACTGGGAGCCACTACAGGGGCTTTCTGCAGCATAGGGGTAAGTAGAAAGTACGACGTAGGAAGATTACTCTGGCCTTGATGTCCAGGCTGTATTGCACTATGGAAGCTGGTTAGGAAAGTAGTGCCACACTATCGATAGTGTGAAGAAATGAAGGCCCATGAAGTAGAGAAGAGGGGGCAGGTAGAAGCCTAGGGAGAGAGCATCTCATCAGAGGATATGTTGTATGTTCGGATTTGGGGAGAATCAGAGAGGGATATAGAGGTGCGAGGCACAAGTAATGAGATCCTGGGACATTTTTCCCTTCTCCTACTTCTTTCCGATTTTCCTTCCATTTTTGGTGTTTATTCCTCTATTGTGAATGCGAAGGAAGATGTGGTTGGCGGCCTCTAAGATGACCCCAGTGATCCTGATATTCATACCCTTGTGGGATCCCCTTCCCTTCATTGTGGGCTGAACCTAATGACTTGCCTCTAACAAATAGAATAGGGCAAAAGGGATGGGATGTCGTTTCTGAGGTTAGGTTACAAAAAGACAATGGCTTCTTGCTTTCATTCACTTGCTCTAAGAAAGCCCACTGTCATATTGTGGCAAGAAACCAAGGGAGGTCTTTAGGCTGTGATGTGTTGAACCCTTTACAGCCACGTGAGTGTGAAGTTTGTCTTCCTCCAGTTGAGCCTTGAGATTAGACCGAGTGCTGGCCCACATCTGTGAGAGACCTTGAGTTGGAGGCACCCAGCTATGTCTTGCCTGTATTCCTGACCCACATAAACAGAGATCATTAGTGTTTGTCATTCTAAGTGGTTAAGTTTTGGAGTAACTTGTTACGTAGTAATATGTAACTACTCCAGAATGACTTGAGTATAAAGTGAGTGGATAACAAAAAATAAGTTTAACAAAGGAAAAGTCTGAGCAGTGTTCCCTTGCTCCTCTTTTGAGCCTCCTGTGAATTGTGTATCATCTTTCCCCCAATTTTTTTTTTTGGCCAGCTTTGTGGAACTGGTTTACACTAGTATCTCCTATACTCTGAGTTTTGTAATTTATCTTTATCCCTTGGATGCTCATGGTTTTGCTCTTTAAATTCAATTACTACTTTGTAGGAAGACTTCTCCAATGACAAGGTCATAATGTAACTTTGGAAACAAGTCTGCTGACAGCGATGCCATCACACTGGTGGTTGTTAACAACCCTGCCCTCCTCGAGGTGTGTGGAGTGCATAATGATGCAGGGACTCAAGCCCAGGGGCTGGGAGTCAGTGACGTGATCTTCCAGAAAATTCTGTCTCCTCTCCTGGGAGCCACTTGAAACCACTCAAAAAATCAAAGTGGCTTTTCCTTAGGTAAAGTCAGGGCAGCTCAGTTGCAGAGAAACAAAGCAATGGTTCAATATTTTAACATTAGTTTACTCTCCCAGCTGAGTTTATTTCTGCACAGCACCCTGAAGATGGTATGACAGCCTAAATATTATTCTCTTCTAGCTGAGAGGATTTTACTTTGCAACGTAGTACTAGACTCTAAATGTGATTTAGCATCTCTACAAAAGAAGACCGGATACATTGCCCGTTTAACTAGATAATCAGAACAAGTGTACATTATTGCAGTTAGAGTTATGGAGTATAATTGTAGAGTTTCTGTTCTAAGCCTTCCACAAGTTCCACTGACTACAGAGATAATAATACCAACTTTGTGAAGCTGCAACCCACCTATCACTTTGTAAATCCGATAAAATGGCTGTCAATTACATTACGCTGCTAGGAACCAGAGAAGAAAGAAAGCATTGCTCATCAAACTACTAGACTTTCACACTTGACTTTCGATGAAAATTGAGGTCAGTTGGGTGTAGTGTTCAGGTCAACATGGTGCACACATGTTATTATTTACACATCTATACGCATATGTCAACTGTGTATTGCAAATTTATCACAGACTTGAATTCCTTTTGATAGTAAGTAGTTATAAATACTGTTAGTGACAACAAGAATCTTATACATTCTTAATAGGAATAAATTGACCTGCAAAGCAGCAATTTAAAGCATGTTAACATAATGTCTCTGTGATAAAACTATCTAGCAACACCTTCTACCCCTCATGATTAATGTTTAGCAAGATAAAAGGGATGTAAATATTTTTATTGTTGTATCCTCTTAGGGAAATGACAGTGGTTGATTTAATTAAAAAGGAGATTCTCCCATAGACCAAGTTGAGAAATCAGTTCAGTGAAGGTGACAATGGGAAATGCCTATTTAATTTGAATAACACCCGGTTCTGTAGAAATGTGCATCGAATACGTAGCCTGCTTAATCTGATTCATGTACTGTTTCACCACATTATTGAAAAGAAGAGGGAATATTAGCTCTCTCATTTTAGGATATTCAACTCCTGCTGGTCTCAAGGTGCTGTGTGCACAACCCACTTCCTACCTAGACTGTTGTTGGGAGTTACCTGGAGGCGACGAGGAGAAAATGACATGTTCCATTAAAATGAGGCATCCTTGGAATTGTTTGATGTTCTTTGCCTTAATTGAATCCATCTATCCCATCTGCCACTCTTCTCTCCAAATTTATTTCCCTAACCCACTCTCTCTGAGAATTGTAATTTGGGGGAAATTTGTTACATACGTTGTTCCTTTTATATAAGCTCTTTGCATCTGGAGGGCAGGTGTGCTGTCTCTCTGGCCTTGTTAGACAAGGTTGCCTGCCTCTTCCCTGCCCCCGCACATGTTGCTGGATCAAACAGGGCTGGGATAAAAGACCCCCAGTAGCAACCGGAGGAGAAAAGAACACAGGAATTCCAGGTTTTTCAATATGGGGCCCTAGCCATGTGCCAGGGCTGAATAAACATGGATTCAATAAATATAACTATAGAAACATGAAACTTGCATTCCGACTGCAGCCAAAAAAAAAAAAAATGCAAATGTATTATTATTTTGAGGTAAAGTTGCCTTGAAACCCCTAACTTTGATCACTTGAGGCCTCTGTTCCCGGGAGTGGCAGAGCAGCCCCATTTAACCAGTGCTCTTTCTCAGGGGTTAGGCAGGAGGAAAGGTAGCTGCCCGTCAGTGTTCTTTAGAAATCACTTTGGGCCCTTAACCTAAACATAAATAAAACGTAACATTAATATGCACGTATTAATTGGAGTGAGGTCCACATTCCCCTCTAAACGAACCATATTCATATGGTTGAGGACACAGCGTAGGGTGGGGGTCCGAGCACAGGCTTGAGATTGACAGGGGTAAGTTAGAATTGCTCTTCAGGCATTTGTTTGAGAACCTTTCTTAGTCCATCTGAACCTCAGTTTTCGCTTCTGTTAAATGGGTACTGAGGCTCTTCTCTTAGATGGTTGTGCAGATTAAGTGAGATTCTGGGTATTGAGCCCCCCAGCATAGGGCCTGGCACACAGTGGACAGTTGGAAGTGTCCGCTGTGATTATTACGTTGGTTGCGATGCCTTGTGTAGACAACAGCAGCCAGTCCGAAGCAGGCCGATCCTCAGACACTTAGGAGGGCTCCTGCGGTTGCTGCTGACCACCGTCCTTCTCATTGGAGAAAGGAAACAAAAGCTCTTCTCTTTCCTCTGTACTGGCTGCTGCCCTGCATCGATTGGTGGAGACCTCTGGCACTTCTGCCTGAAACTTCCTCTGGACCAGGACGTCAGGGCAGGGCGAATCCCCCTTTGTTCAGGGAAGACCTTTTTGTTATGTAAAGGAACTGCAAAACCCAAAGTCTGTGTGGACACAAAACTGCCTGTGCATGACACTATACTAGTAAACAGTTGTCCTCATAGTAAGCAGAGGGAGTCTCTGCAAATTATTTTTTCTTTTGTAAATGAAACTTAATATTGAATTCTAAAAATCTTGTATGAATGTGTCACTCCCCGCCCCCAGATCACTCCCATACCCCAGGTCTAACGGCATTTTTTTAAATACTATTTCCTATACATTGTCTTATTGTATGTATTTATCATTACAAGTGTAGATGATATTGCTGTGTCTTTTTTAATGCATAGTATCATTATATGGAGATATACATATATGTGATATATGTACACATACACATATATACCTATACACATATATATATACATTTTTTTCTTTTTATCGGTGGTTGAGAAAGAAGCTTTGTGTTGAGCATAAATAAGATTGACAGGTGCGGCAGACCATTTTGTGGATATTTTCCTGCAGCTTTCTTTTTTCACGTGCTATTACATGTCATTACATATGGAAACACCTCATTCTTTTAAACTGCTACATAGTACTTCATAAGACATTCCAGAGTATATTTCTCTAGATCTTATTGATGGACATATAGGTGTCTAGTTTTATGTTGTTGTTGTTTTTTTTCAAAAAAATAAGCTGGTCAACATCTTTATTTTATTTTTTGTTGTTGTTGTTAATCCTTACCTGGGGATATTTTTTCCATTGATTTTTTTAGAGAGTGGAGAGGAGGGAAAAGGAAGGGATGGGGAGAGAAAGAGAGAGAGAGAGAGACATCGATGTGAGAGAGACACATCAATCAATTGCCTCCCTCACAGCCCCAACCAGGTACGGGTCCCTTCAGTGGGCAGGCCAACACTCTAACCATTGAGAAACACACTGGCCAGGCAGCATCTTTACTTTTCTATATGTTTCCTGGGCACCTGAGGGAG